TTGCAAATAATTCCTGGTTCCACCCCAAATCATGCTTGAATGGAACTTCAAGGTTAAGTCTGCTCTTCAGTAACTACTGTTTTGAAAAAGTTAACATTAGGAGTGCAAAATTGAAAAACTAGCGCATAATAATTTGCTAAACATATTTATTTATGGAATATTTGTGATAAAGATTGTGAATGTGTTAAAATTGTGGCAGTATTTAATAATTTTAACAAAAAATTGCGTTTGTATATCTATTTATGATAATCATACCGCCAATAGAGTGTGTTCATATTCATCCACATAAGAAATGCCAAAGCCTGGATGGTATTGGTTGTAAAGATTTACCATTACTGTCATTTCGGCCGTCAACCTAATTTTAAATATGAGGTTATTATGTAGACAGTTTAAATATTCTAGATTAAAATGCATAAAATGCAGTACACAATATATCTTCAGACTTTGTTAGAATTCATTATAGGCAGATGTTGATGAGTTTTGAAGACATCAAATAAGTATGATTTAATTGTAATTAATTAAAAATTGTTAATAATACTAGACCTTGGTTGAATTGCTGTGCTTTTGGGTAAATCATATTTCACAACTTTGGCATTGCTGATGCTTTTCAGACTTTTGATGTTGATATTGTGGTTTGATAAGTATTTGAATGCCTGTTTCAAGCCTAAACAATAGCTATTTTGTCATTAAAAAAATCATTATAATTTCTTGTGCAGCAATTCTAAGGACAATATTTCAAACTTTGATACTATACATTTGCAATTATCATATTATTTATGATATTTTCACAAACATTGATATTGGTAACAATAAAAAGATCAAATATTTGTAAGACACAATTTTATGGAAAACCAATAATTGGATAAGGAGTAAAACATGCTGCAATGTACAATGATGACATGATTAAGATATGTATCTGATTATATGAAATATTTATCTCTGTTTGTCTGTTTGTTTAATTGTATGTCTGATTGTCTCATGAATCTTTGCTTGTTTTCAAAAGAAAGAAAGATAGTATTTAATTTGTATGAAGAGATTTAGAAAATTTTATTTTCAAATACCTGTATGTGCCTGCTCATTTGCATGTCTTAGAATTCTGGTCGTATTCACCTCAGTTTCTTTCCTATTAAAAGTTTTTTAATAACACAAATATATGATATATATTCATCAAATATATATACAAATACTTTTATAGGTTTTTAAATATTTTCTCCTGAAACACTTAATTTTGAATGTTTTTGTTATATACCATCCTTGGGAACATACACATTCCCAATCCCTAACTATATTCTGTTTGACACATTTAGGTATGTTTAAAACGCTTTTTCTTACAAAATTTTAATACCTTGTAGTGTATTTGCTGTGTTTTGAAGCTAAAAAAATATACTTTATTTTATTTTATTTTTATTTTATGAAGAATCAACACACACTGTTTAACGTGCATCGGTAAATCTACAAAATAAATGTTTTGGTTGCACATTTTTTTATAATTTACAATGTACAAACATTAAACAAATACATTGATGTAAACAAGTATTTTTGAAAAAATATCTTATTGTTATTTAATTCATTTAACACTCTCTATATCACCTAATAAACTGCTTAGGCAAATAAAACCCTATTCATTATTAAAAGGGTAGAATACACAGATTGAATACATAGAAGATTTAAAAACATAAATTCAAAGGGAGGAAATGGATTATCTTTATAAACTTATACCTTGGTAGAAGTGAAAAGTGCCCCTTCTTCTGCACTAGTTTTTAGTTCCATAATTGTGGTTTCTACTCTGTTTGCTGGTTTCTGAGCAAAACCAGCATCAGTAACCAAATGAAGAAATTACTCCTCAGTACCTCTTAAAAGGAGCTGAAGAGGACTGTAAGGGTGGTAATATGGTTCATCTTCCTGAATCTCGTCCGTAGCTCGGATATATGCATCAATAAGATGAAAATATCCACTTTTAGGAGATATAGAGGATGCTAAGGGTATAATTGCAGCATACCCACCTTTGCAAGATGTAATATCAAGTAACTTCAAAACATTGTGGGATTTTGGACTATAGAATGTTATTTTCTGAAGCTCCAGATCTGAAGGTTTTTGATAAGGTTGCATCCATTAGACCAATAACACATTGTCTCCCCCTTCCAGTTGGATCCACAAATTCTGCTGCTAGTTCCTGCACAAGGGGAGGTATCTGGTCTCTCAAGTATTCCAAAGTTTTCCTGACATCTAGATCAACCGATTCTTGAGAAAAAAGTAAAGGTATCACAGTGCTATGCTTTAACTCATGAAATAGAATTTTATCAATAACCCGACTCACAGTTGTTCTTGGAATGAAAAAGTACACAGAAAGGTCTGCAAGAGGTAAGTTTTTCCTGTATCTCATTAGAAACATCAAACATTGAGATTCAACTGATAATTCTGAAGATCTAACATTGCAATGGCTAGTCAACTGTTGCAGAAATCAATAAAACTCGCTTAATCTAAGCCTGACATAATTTGCAACTGCTTTGATATAATTTGGAGAATATTTGTGTCAATACTCTTAACATCTTTTATGTAGGGGATTTTAAACACCTCTATTGTCTCTCCATTCACAATTGATATAAGACCAGTTTTGGTAAACATTTCCATCTGAGTCATAACATCTATTATGTTAGCATCGTTAATTTTTTTGCACATGATGTTGACAAAACTTTCACCTTTAAAGGATGTAAGCAATGAGCCTGTCAGGTGTAGTTTGACTCCTTTGACATTCACTTCTCTGGAATATTGTGAAAAATTCAAATGTGGATTGATGAATTTTATAAATTGTGCAAACACTGGCATGGCAGAATATTCATGATCTGTATCCAAAGAACTTTCAAATGTTTTCTTTTGTTTCCAGGTTGATTTCATAATATCTATGCTAGATAGACCACAGAGTGAATGAACATGTCTGGATGTACGTGATTTTGGCAGATTCGCATGCTCATGGTTGAGCGAAAGGTTTGGAACTTCAATAGTTAAAACACTATCTTTGGTTACAGCCAAAGAAGGATCATACCAGAATCTTGAAGCAACTTGACTTTGAATATATTCTCTTGAACAACTTCCACTTCTCTGAATGCACTCTCAATATTTGCAGCATTTGCAGTTTCTCTGGAAATGCTGATCTTGTTCATATGATTATTTGTCCTCAGTTTCTTCATCTTATTCTCTGTAGTTGTTAAAAGTTTTGACAATCTACTCTCGATATCACAAAAGTAATGATACAATTGTTATTCTGGATTCCCTCGTTAGCATAAGTTGTTAGATTTGAGATAAGATTGTCCTTGTGTTTGATTATCTCTTAAAGTACCAATCTGCATCTCCATCAACAGTGAAAGAGACCATTTGAGTGTAAGGATCGACATGTTCATAAAGCTGAATGCCAGGGCTTAAACTCTTTACATCGCAGTTTTCGTTAACAAACTCTACTCCAGCGAGCGGGGGAAGGCAGGCGGCCATGAGCCACCACTATTTCCCCTTCTGGGCCACATATTAGCTTTTTTCTCTTCCGGCAGCCATGAGCCACCACTATTTCCCCTTCCGGACCACCACATTTGACTCTTCCGGGCAAAACTACTTTTTTAAATGGTATATTTAGGGCCTTTAAAGTGTGATTTTTAAAAATCCAGCCGCGTCACGCAATAAATATATATTTAGATCTTTATATTTCAGTGTTAATATGTAATAAGGATGATTCCTCTTAACCCTATTCCCGCTGGGGGGGGGTCAATTTGACCCCCCCCTGTAGTTTTTTTTACATAACTCAAAAAGTATTGGTCTGAGGCTGTTGAAATTTTCTGACTTTTCTTACATACCAAAAGCCCTCCCTTTAGGCCTAAAACCGGGCTTTAATACTAACTGCCTGAGTCCTCAGGCACACTGCCTGAATGACTGCTTTTGCCTGTAGCAAACTAAATCTTTGTTTTGACCCACTTTCACTTGTCAGATTTTGATAAAATTTAGCTTTTTGGAAAGCCTATGACATAAGGAAACAGATTGCACAAGTTTTGCGAAAAAAAAATTGCAAATTTTTTGCAAACAACCTGTCAAAGGAAATTTGCACATTTTTAGTTTTTCTTGATTAAAAATCAGGTTATTTAAAATTTTGCAAAAATTTTTGCATATTTGAAATGACATGGTCAAGGGCTTTTCAAAAATGTATAATTTGTCATATTTTGGACAAATTTTTTTTTGCAAACATTTTTACTATAAAACTAGATTTTGCGATAAAAAATTCAATTTTCGCAAATTTGCAAATTTTTTTGCAGATTCTAAAAGTAGAGCACAAGAGCTTTCTAATGATGTATCATTTGTCATATTTGGACATAAAACATGGGATTTAGAGGGGGGGGTCAAATTGACCCCCCCCAGCGTATCCTGGTTTTCAAGTACCCCAGCGGAGATAGGGTTAATGTAAACTGTTAAACTTTTTTTTCCCAAATCTAAATTCTGATTTGCCTAAAAATTGGCTTATTTTTAAGAGCAATATCAATTTTAAAAATGACGCACCATAAAATACACTTTAGCTTTGAAGGGAACCCTTGTGTGAAAATGTGCAATGTGTTAAGAGAAAATTGCAAAAAAAACGTTTTTTTTTACAAAATCTGTAACGCCTAAGTAATGACAGTAAATATTGTGATTTTAATAATATTTTCTTATTCTTCAGACTACCCTGAACAATTTGTCTCTGCACCCACAATACGAAAATTGACTTAGTTTTCCTGGCTAAAATCTAAATTACACTACATCCTTTTTTACAATTTCAAACAACTTCTTTAAATGTCGTCTTCTTAATGTGATGGCTATTTAAGAAATTTACGGTGCATTCTTCAAAAATTTTCGCATTGCTTTTGTAAACACTGATAATACCTGAGTATTTAAACTATATTCTTTAGTATTAAAACTATTCTTAAATGTTATTATAATTTGTATCGCTACAGTATTCTCCAGCTTAGGGTTATGTAATTACTTTCTCTCAGATACAATGCCCATTCTAAACTCACAAATACGAGGTCTGCACAAGACAGAGAAGGCAAATTTGAAGGAGGTAAGATCATTGATTTTTTATTTTTTTTTATAATATTTCACGTTTTAATCGTCTGAGGGGTATACTGACGGATTGTCATTTTAAAAATGTGTGTTTCTTCTCAATTTTTGTGATCCATACCAGCATCAATAANTCCCCCTTCTCATCTCATTCTCATTCCATTGAATCTCTCTATCTTGCCCAAACTACTACTTCCAATAAAACTTTCTGTCCTAACCAAATTACTACTTGCATATTTATTTTTTATTATTTTAGGGTTAGGTTAGGTTAAGTTCATCTCTGTGCCGAGCGCTGCGGCTATGACGGACTAGGAGGCTGAGCGCTGCGGCCATGAAAGACATTGATCTTTAATTTCAACAATTTTGAATAAAATTAGTCTATATTGTTTATGTACAAAATCGAGAGGAGGGGGTGGGTCCAAAAATCGTTCTCTAGGACAGACCCTAATTTTCAGCCAAGTTATTATTATTTATTTAGTAATAATTTAGGGTTAGGTGAAGTTAAGACAATTTTTGAGCCGAGCGCTGCAGCTAGAACAGGCTAGGTAGCCAGGTGCTGTGGCCTCATGACCAATTATAACCATGTGTCACTTATTAGATCCCTGTAAAAAATTGATAGGAGGGGTAGGGAGGAGGGGGGGGGGGGGGCAAAAATTGTATACTAGGAAATTACCGAGGGGGCTTGTGGGAGGTTTGAAATGCTTCTTTTTAACAAAAACTCCCCCCCCCCTCCAGCCCTAACTGTTTGTACATTGTTAAAACTAGCATATTTATTATCATCTATCTACGAATAAGTTTTTCACCTGAGCTCTGCCACCACACTCAAAAATATAGTGTAAAACTATGTTTCAGGGGATGACTAAGAAGCTGGAGCCAGGGATGAACCTAAAGCTCTCAATTGAGAAAGCCGACTTTGATTATGAAGTTCAGGTAAATTTGTCAATGTTTAATACTAAATAAAGGTACTGCCTGCGTAATCTCAAGATTTACCAGTTAAGGTTATTAACTTTTAAAATGATGTTTCCATTGGTGAATCAATTGGCTTAAATTTGTTGAGGGAAACCATAGATACCCTGGGGAAACATAGGCTAAACAATCATAATTTTTCTCAAAAAACGAAAATGAATTTCTTATAAATCAAAAAACAAAAACCTTGATTTTTCATTCAATGGACAATGCTACTAATATTTCAAACTAAACAGTTATTCTAACAATATCACCCGATTCAGACAGAAATCCTCCCCCCCCCCACTATTTTATTTATTTTCTTAATCCCTTTCTAATTTTATATCTAACCAAGGTAACTCATGAGGAATTTGGAAGAGATTGGGTGATGGGATCTGTAGCAATTGAACATTCTGAGGTAAAAATGGGTACTAAACTTAAATTGTCTCAAGTGACGTACCATAAAAGTGATGCATGCCCAATTCATAACATTATCCTTAAAACATTTATCTTGTCAATTATATGGAAGATATCCTTGTTTTCTAGCTTGGCAAGTGTTGAATATCGACAATTTATTCCAATATGTCTCAGACTGAAATTCACAAATTGGTTTATTTAAAACTGAAATGCAATTGAAAACAGTCAATTCTGAAAAAGAAGTGATGGTTTTAAGTGTACCTGTTGAAATATGCAATGTCACTTCATAAATGGAAAGTCACTTGAAATTGAATTTTGGCGTCTTTACACATAACAAATGCTATTATTTTTCCACTTTTGAAAACATTCCAAACAATTATTGCACTAATTAATAGAATTAAAACAATTTGAACATTTATTTTAAGGTCATTTCTTTAAGATTTAGTAAATTTTTTAAACAAAAAAAAATCCAAATTTTTGGTTTTATTTTTTTCGCTTATTTTTAGCGTAAAACTTGATGAACCATTCAGAAATGAGGACATTTTTATAATCTCTCTTTTTTCAAAAGTTCAGATTTGGGGTTTTGGAGTTAAAAAGATTTTTTTTTGCATTTTTTGGTTGATATTTTACCTCTTGAATCCAGGTCCGTGGATCCGCATATTTTTGCGGATCCGGATCCAGGAAGCCAAAATCCTGCTTTGAATATTTTTGACTTAAAATTAGTCAATCTTAAGAATTATTAAAATTTACTCTTTCTTTTAAAGATTGTGTGGAGTCTTATCAAGAACAGCAATCCAGTCACTTTAACCATTCCAGATGATGCAAAGAGAACCTCCGAGAAGGGAAAGGTAATTATATCTATGTTTAACTTTGATGATTTCAATTTAAATGAGTGTTAAACATTTTACTGGTTTTTTCACATATCTTTAATATTTTAAATAATAATTGACAATCACATTCAATTATTTCGTTTAATTGTGTGTCCGATATTATTTTTATTTTATGATTTATTTTGATCCTCATCCTCATCATCCAGCATTCTCTTATCTTCTACCACTGTTTCAACTACACTCAATCTTACCTCATCAATCAGCTCTTCTATAAGTTTATCTTCCCCCTTCTCATCTCATTCTCATTCCATTGAATCTCTCTATCTTGCCCAAACTACTACTACCAATAAAACTTTCTGTCCTAACCAAATTACTACTTGCACCAAATGCTCGAAAGTTTTTACACGTGAGTTTATTTTATAAGTCAAAATAAGTGCATTTATAATTGGTTTGTCCTGAATGAAAGGGTCAAGCCCCCCGCCTAAAATCAACTGAATGTCCCCCTCTTTAAACCTCACATTTTAAAGAGTAGAATTAACAATTCATAATGTTCCCCTTTAAGTATTATCTGATCTGAGCTATTGTTGTTTTTCTATCTTGTATAGCGTTACATTTTATGTTTTTTGTTTCTTCATGGCATAAATATACAACTTACTTTTATCATTAAATAAGCATCAACGAACTAGAATAGCTCATTCATCCTTAAAAGCTAAAAGCTTTGTCTGTTCAAGAATTCATGGGTTGTGGATTTATAATATAAAAGCAAGAAGAGAAAATTGTCAGAATAAACCACTTTTCAAGCAAAAAAAACGATGTTATCTTTCATATTTTTGGTCAGATGAAGGTTTAAGGCGCATCGGGCATACCGCTCTTTAAACGAAAAGTCACTTAAAATTACAATAATGTTCCTTCAATTTAGATTCTATATTTTAGATAAAACCAGTCTCTCAAGGCACAAATCAAACAGCTCAGCATGTAGAGTAACAATAATAAAAACTCACAGAGTTTGCCACTTTTGTTGTAAAATTATAACCTCTAAAAATTATGCGAGACATATAAAACGATTCCTAAGAGATTCCCAAGTCATGATTACCTTCACTTTCTCTTAGAAGTTTTCAGAACTTTTCATTTGAATTTTTTTAGCATTTTTTATTTTGAGTAAAATAAGTTCTTTGACATGATTGTTTTAAAGTAAAAATTTTAAATAATTTAGAAGGAAAACATTTTTAACCAAAAAGTTACATTTTGTTGTAATTCATTTTTATTTTTTAAGGATATGTTCCTGAGTGTCACAATTGTAAGAAAACAAATATGTTGATTAGTTAGGAAAAAATGGAAATTTAAACATGGAAGGAAAGTTTTCCTTTTTCTTTATATTGTTCCCCAAAATTTAATAAATCCCAATTCTGCCAATAACCCCCTAAAAAAATGTTGAACTTCTTAGATAAAAAAAATTACTGTCAGAGAGTGAGGGGACCTCAATTTTTTAAGAAATATACACCCCTGGCTATTACTTTTTCATAGAAAAAGTTGCAGATTCCAAGTATCAAGTAAATCTGAGTTAGTAACCTCTTTTGTTAGCACATAAAAGATTGATATTTTAATAATTGAAAATATTTGTGAAATGTTATTTTTGTCATTTTTCCTTAAAAGTTTTGTGTCTTTGTTTTATTATATTTTTTTGTTATTTGTGAAATGTTATTTTTGTTATTTTTCCTTAAAAGTTTTGTGTCTTTGTTTAATTATATTTTTTTGTTATTTGTGAAATGTTATTTTTGTTACTTTTCCTTAAAAGTTTTTTGTCTTTGTTTATATTTTTTGTTATATTCTTTAGTTTTTTTAATTAGAACTATTAGGAAATAAATATGATTTTTTTGTAATTTGTAGTTGTTTTTTGTATGTTTTTCATGATTTTTTTTTAAAGCAAACATTAATCATTTTTTGTCAGGTATGAAATTTTAATTCAGTGTAACAAGAGTGAGTGAATGAGAAGTGATTGTTAAAAGTGTGTTTGATAAGGTTAGGTGAAGTGAGGTGAGTGATAGAGACTGGTTGAGATGAGATGAGTTGTTGAATGAGTGATTTTTCGTAGTTTCTTTTATGTTTCTCACATACAGGGTTACCCACAAAGGATGAGACTGTCAAGACGACATGATACTCTAAATCCCGATTCCAAGGTTAAATTAATCAAAAATTTCATTGTTAAACAGTTTAAGAATTCAACACACAAAATATCAATCTTAAGTAGAATTGAAAAAATGGTTTGAGTTGTGCTTTTTTGCATGACATGGCTGGATTTTTAAAAATCACACTTTAAAGGCCCTAAATATACCATTTAAAAAAGTAGTTTTGCCTGGAAGAGTCAAATGTGGTGGCCCGGAAGGGGAAATAGTGTTGGCTCATGGCTGCCGGAAAAGAAAAAAGCTAATATGTGGCACGGTACAATGGGGCTTCGGAAACGGGCTTATCGCAGGACAATATGGTACTCACTGCACAGAGCAAGTGGTTGATTATAGACCCTAGCTACTAACCCAAAGATCCAGAAGGCAAATTTTTCTTCAAGCTATCACCCTGGAATGGCACAGACCGATGTCACATTCAACAGTCGATATGCAGCTGAGAACACCTCATTACATCTTTACTGCTTACCTATGTTTAAAAATGAGAACTACTCCATTGTTCATGATATTTCTAGTTGATGTTCATTCTCGCGCCTGGCGTTTGAAGAAAAACATGTTCAATATGGATTATTATGACGAGGACTCATTAACTGAAAATGTTACTGTTGCCACCCCAGGTTTCCCTGAGACAATAAGGACAATAATGCCAACCACAATTCCAAGCCATTGAACATAAGTGCAACAGACCCACTTTATAGTGATCGAACTGTGAACACCCCTGTTAAAACCGTGAAATCCCTGAATGAAACCATTGCTGTTATTTATGCCCCTGAAATACTCTCCAATTTTCCCACCAAGAAAACTAATGCAAACGGTACAGGATATACTACAGTTTACGCCCCTGTTGAATCTGACAGATTCCTCAATGACACCACTGCTGTTACCTATGCCTCTGAAATACTCTCCAATTTTTCCACTAAGAAAACTAATACACATGAGACAGAATATACACCAGTATCTAGTGCTGTTATGGAAGACCCCTCACTTAATACTACAAATTATGATGCCCCTGAATTACTTGAGAACGTAGGAAGTTACACAAATTATACTAGTCAACATGATTGCGGCATAAGGTCATTTGCTTTATACATTGTTATATTTTTTTAATAGATGTATGTAATTATAAACTCTGTATGTAATTATAAACTTGCATTTTTTTAAGTATAAAGCAAATTATAGGAGTATGGATGCAGATATTATTTTTAATCAGACAGAATATATGGATGTTAAAAATCATGCTATAATGGTCTCTCCTACATTTTTACTGCTTACATACAATATTAGAATCATGTTTATGAATTACAGGGTGAAGAAGATAGCAAAGACTAAGTTTATGCACATGAAAAAAAGTTGTTTATTTTCACAGATTTTTCTTTTAAACAGTTTTTTCGTTAGTTTTTGTTCCTCCATTGATTGTTATTTTTTCTACATGACACCATTGTTAATGGAAAATTTCGTTTGTTCTTAAAACTGTTGTTTGTTCTCAAAACTGTTGTTTGTTCTTAAAACTGTTGTTTTATCTCAAAACTGTTGTTTGTTCTTAAAACTGTTGTTTTTTTCTCAAAACTGTTGTTTGTTCCCAAAACTGTTGTTTGTTCCCAAAAACTGTTGTTTGTTCCCAAAACTGTTGTTTGTTCTCAAAACTGTTGTTTGTTCTGAAAACTGTTGTTTGTTCTCAAAACTGTTGTTTGATCACAAAACTGTTGTTTGTTCTTAAAACTGTTTTTTTTTTTTATTATTTTTATTGTTATTTTACAAGTTATTTGTGGACATAAAAATCAAAATTTGAATTATCATTTGTTTTTTTAACTTAGCAGTGAAACATTCACAATTTTACAAAATATTTAAAATAGTGGAATTAAGAAAATATCCTTGTCTCATTAAATATCATATTACGCCTGTGTTCTGAATAATTTAAGAGGGGGAATTTCAACCAATTAGTTTGGATTTAATTAAACCATAACTTCTTTCATAAATTCTCAAGGAATGTTTTCCAAAATTGTTTTAATCCAAAGTTATATGTTGAAGAAAACCAGTTCGCACCCCTCCCCGCCCCCCCACGTTTTAATTCCTTTAAATTTATATTTTTAGTTGCGATTTAACGATATAATATCGTAAAATTCACTGTAAGGTCACAAAAAAAATTTTATTTTTAAATTTTTTAATATCATGTTTTACATCAATTTCTTGGAAATTAAATGCTGAATCCAAATCTAAAAAGCATTTTTTTAAAAATTGAAAATTGAGTGAGTTAGAGCTAAAAAAAACGTTATTTGGCCATAACTTCTTTAGATTATAATATATTTAAAAATGGTTTTCAAATCTGAATTCAACACAAAATTCCCAAGAAAATGATGTATCATATTTATATTCATTTTTGAAATATTTTTTTTAGGTCTTATGGACGATTTTGAAATGTTTTTTTGACTACAATATTTTTTTTAAGTAAAAACTAAGCGACCTCAGGTGGGCGGCTGGCTGATTTCTAAAAAAGTCATAAATCAATCACCCTTAATGGTTAGTCCTGAGGCTGAATTTAAAGAATTTGAGCTGCGGCTTAAATTTGAGACAGGGCTTATATATTGGTTGGTTCCACCTAAAATGTATGCAATGATTTCACATTTTAAATTAAAAACTTTTACAAAAAACTTATTTCTTTTTTATTCTTTTTGAATAACAAATGTAATGAATTTAATTTTCTTTGTCACTGTTTTCTTGCACTTCCCTCTTTCATAATATGATAATGTTTACACAAAAACAATGAAAGAAAACAAATGGCTAATCTCAAACTATTTTTACAGTATTATTATAGGGAAATATTGTACACACACACACACACACACATCTAAAGATTATTTCTAGAAATAGAAAAATCTTTTCACTAAATGGGAAAATAGATAATATCTTTTTAATGCCTTTTTAATTTGTAATAGAAATTCTTTGATTTAACACATCTTTGAGAAGTGTTTAAAATGCTTCTCATAAGGTTCTTGCAAAACATTCTTCACTACTCACTTGATGTTTTCAAGTCCAAATTGGTCCAGGAAACTTAAAACTTTAAGTTATTAATAAGACCCTTTCCTTTTATTTGAATTAAATTATTAAAACACACTGTTCCTTATTTTATAGATATATCTGTTCAACAAAGTTTTGTCTGTTAGAGAATCACATTACTCTTATTGTGTAACAGAAAAATTGACTGTTCTCAATTGTGATTTTCTTGCAAAAGTAAGTTGAGGATTTTTACTTCAGAGACGAAGAAATGAAAGATGATTCTAATAATATATGTTACTCTCTGTTACAACCCTTCCGCTGAGTACCCACAATTTCTCTTATACTTTTTCACCCCCTCCTTACCTTATTCCTTTTGTTTAAAATGTACACTGTACAGTGTACATCCATCCATTTTTTACAATTCTTATTCGCTTATAATGGGCCAGCCAATCAAAACAACCCAACTCTGGTTTGGCGGGTCCAAACTACATAGTAAATTGTGATTTTTTTATTTGTATTATTTCGTGCTTTGTAGTTGAATAAAAATATGAAATATGAATTAATTTCATTTCACTCTTAAGATGAAGTGTCATTTGAAATAATGTTTACAGTCCATTTAATCATAACATGACACTAACACCTGAAAGTTAAAACTGGTTGTTAAAACAAAACTGCCTAAAGAAATAAGAATATCTTATGATGGTAGGATTCGCCAATGAAATCAAGTTGAAATTATAATTTTGAATAGTTTTCATAATTTCACTTTATAAACTATTTCAATTATAATGATTACATTGGTTGTTCCGATAACGATCTATAGATCTTTAATAAAATATGTATTCAATACCATTTCCTCTATCAAATATGTGAGGTTATTGATAGCATGCAGGTAAAGCATTCT